CTATAGGGATTCTCTAAAAAAAAACGAAAAAAAACGAGAAAAGAAACATACGTGATTGATAAATTTGTTTCTTCTTTCGATTATGGTGTTTTGTTTATTCAAAATACAGGTTTTCAAGACAGTCTTCATGTGGTTATCGACAACTACAAATTCGATGAAACCACGAAGATGATAACTCCGACGGGTATATACGGATCCAATGGAGGTGATGACATGACGATGTTGCTGTGAATTTTGAGCATGGACCAATTGATGAGTTCGTTCAGTTCACATGGTGACATGAAACGATGGAGATACACAACTACTACAATATTTTCCACCGATGACCCTATGGCCGGGAAAAATGCCATGAAGATGACCCGACGGCCGGGTGTTGCAGCCGATTTGACCCTACGACCGGATATAAATGTCGATGATGACTCGAAGACCGAGTATAATACCGCGATACTTTGAAGATATGTCCAATCTCACCCGTGTTACCACGTATGAGCTTGCTGGGGGGTATTGGGAGATCGAGATCGACCGAGATTGAACGGTCAAGATGGCCAATCAAGATTATGGAAATAAGGAAGATTTCCAGAAGATTGTCAATATTGAAAATATTAGGAAAGTTAATATTTGTGTATAAGTTATATTTCTTATTCTGTAAATGTAAATAACTTGTTAGACAAGTTAGAATTTCGTATAAATAAGCTTATTGAATAATGAATAAAACTGAGAGAAACTATTCTACTACTAAGGTTTCCTCCAAAATCTATCAATAGACAGTGAGATCGGTGGAGGAAACGACTGTCGAAAGGATGCCCGACTATACTAAAAGAGATGAAGCAGAAGAGAAGTGTGAAAAACTAAAGTTTTAGATTTATTTGTGTTTATATGTGTGATTATGTTTTTAATTATTTTGCCAAAATTTGAGTGGGAATTATTTCCCCCTCTCCCTTTTCAAATTGCTACACATTTTGCTGTTTTTATTCGTGATTATTCTAGCTACATATTTTATTCTATAGCAAATTGATATAAAATATTGCTGTATAAATTTTGTTACGATTATGTTGTCACTACTTAGTAGCAATTTTGCTACAACCTAAATGCATAGCTAAGTGCCTAAGTTATCACTAATTAGTTATAGATTCCTTAAAAAATTCTACAAATTATAAGATGTGTTTATTTGTCGCAAAATTTTGTTAGAAACTATCATTGTCGCAAAATTTGTGACTATGTACACATTTTTTTGTAGTAAATAGTTTGTAGCTAATTGTAATTATTTTATTTGTAACTATTATTGAAGCAAATTTAGTTTCTGCCACGAAATGCTTCAAAAACAATTGTAACAATATTTGTCACAAGTTTTTTGTAACTAGTTGAAGAAAATTTGCTACAATTTTGAGTTAGTAGCTATTTTGTCACAAATTAGCTACTAAAAGTGACAAATTTGCTACAAATTAATGATTTCATAATTTTGTCACAAATTTGTATCTAATCGTAGCTAAAATTTGCTACAAATTGTTGTTGTAGCAAAATTTGTGGCTATTTTCACCTATTCTTGTAGTATAATATCTCAACCTCAAGATATGCTAAAAAAAAAACAAAATCTCAATAACTCAAAATAAAGGAAGACAATTTCAGATAGTCTTGGTAAAATTTTGGAGGAATTTTGGAACATGCACATGTAGCAACACCAAAAAAGTCTTCAAGAGGATGAGGAAGTAAGTTTTCTTCCGAAAACTTTCTAGCACCCAATCTAAGGTGAAGAATGAAAATGACACTATGCAAGCTTTACAATTCGTGTTTTGATTTGGTTTAATAACTTAGAAACAAGTTTTCTTTATTTCTTTTGGTTTAATTTTACCTTATCAGAAATTTATAATATTTTTTTATAAACCTTATTGTGAAGTGGAAAAAAATTAATTCGATTTCATATTGATTTAATATACATACTATAATTAACCAATATATATAGCATAGTGATTTGTGTTAATATTATCTAACGTATCATTATCCGAATTCAAAACTCATATACCATATTGTTAAACTCGCATACCATACTGGTGAAAAGACAATAAAAACTGACCATCTCATATTATTCATGCATATTGTAATAAGTTATGCGTATAATTTCATTTTATTTTTGGTAAGAAATCTAGTGGGTGGTCTGTCAGCAGGATGGTTAAAACCGATTAATTACTATGTATGGATTTTTTTTTTCAAAACAAAATTAATGGCGAAGAAAATAAAAGGAAAATTTGTTCCAATACACTTAAAACTCTAAAAAAATGAACTGAGTTTGTTCCAATACACTTAAAACTCTAAAAAAATGTCTCGTTAGCCTTTAATTATGTTGAAACTCGGTTTTACCCTTCAATTATGTTAAAAATTTGTTTTYTTWWTWAWTTTTTAAAATGATTTTAAA